ATTCTCCTAATGTTTCAAAAGATCAATTGTCGTTTCTATCAGCGACGTTAATAATCGAATAAAATTATTTTCTATTTTGAAAAATTATTTTTCAAATAACTGAAAAATAAAATGTAAATTTACGTTTAAAAATATGGGATTAAAGAACGACATTTTCTAAATAAAAAAAGAAGCAAATGATTATTTGAAAGAATATACCGTAGAAAGGATAGGAAGGAACTTACGTGAATTTACTATAAGAAAGATAGTTGCTTAGAAATTAAAGAAAAATTGTAGATAGCGCCACTGCACATGATGAGATATACAAGGTATATTCTCGATAATAATTTAGTTATACCTGATACAAGTTAATTATTGGAAAATTATAATATCTTTACACTAAATTCTCGAAAGAATAAAAATGATTATAAATGATTTATAATATATAAAAAAAAAAGTAATTCTTGTTAATTTTTTTTACAAATATCGAAACTAGATTCACGCAATAATTATTGAAATTAAATTGCAAATATTCCTAAGAAATAATATTCGAAAGAAAATTTCGTTTCTTTTTTTTCTTTTTTCAATCATATCTATGGAAATGCGTTACCTTGTGAAACGTTTAAATTTAATTAAATCGGGAGCGGACCTTGCGATCTAATCGAGCTCGAGTTTCAACTTGTTGTTTCGCAAAACGCCGCTATAATTGTTCAGAGCTCAGTGAGTTTGCGTGAATTTTCTCTTCTATAACATTGTTGAATTATCTCGAAACTACGTTTCGAACACGATTGATATATTTAAACGAGAGGATTTATACAAGAATTTTTAATATTTCCACCTCCCTTTCCTCAATTTCTTACCTTATACCTCGCTATTCTCACATCTTTCTTTCTTCACACTTACTTTTGGTACGTAAATATTGAGATAGAGACAATCCTCTTCTCCAATCATGCTCCCATCCTTTGACATCTGACAGCACGATGGGCTATTTTTCGTAGCTTCGAAGGTCCCGTTCCACTTTCGATCCCATGGCTGAGGGCTCTGTTACAGAATTATCGTCCAGAAAAAAAAAAACACGAGAAATATAAAAAACATTTTTCTTATTAATACTACCCCCTTCTATGTTTTTAACATACCGAAACGTCTATTCCACAGAACCAGGTACCCGAAAATATTTTTCCAGAAACTCTCTGTCATACCCTCTGTGCAAAAAGAAGAAGAAGAAGGAAAAAGAATAAAGCAAACTTACCCTAAATCTCAAGTCGCCCAGAGGCGGTCGAGCGTAAGGAATACCCAGATAATGCGCCACGAGCCTCCCTCTCGAGCTCCTGCTCCAAAGTCCTTTAATGTCGCCAAACTTGGTCGTCACCCTCGTATTCCAGTTAAAACCGCTCGCAACTACCGCAACCAGCGTAATTAACAGAGCCAACGAACAATTATCGATCGAATTTCTTCCCCCGCCCATTGAAACCCTCCTGGCCCCTTTGCGGCGAAAAAAATTTTCTCGAAAACGTGTGGTCGCGCGATCACAGAGGATGAGCCGCTTCTGAGCGCGAAACGGTGAGGATCGAGCTGATGCTGTCGGGCTGATTAAGCTGATTCGCTCGAAACGTGGCGCGGGGCCAAGCCTCTCTCAAGCCTCTCCTCGAAAACTTCTCGAGGACGATTCTCCTCTTCCTTTTCTTCGCTTCGATGCGATCCACTGCGCGTGCATCGATCGTTTCACGATGATGAGTCGTTCGATTGTGCGAAATGTGTAGCGTCGGTTTGTGTGGAATCGTAGGCGCGATAGCTTAAGAGAACTGAATTAAATTGGATAATTGTTGGTGAAACGGTTATATGAAACGGTTGTTTGACAAACTATTTCGTCGCTTGTGTTTAATTTGTATCAGTAAAACAATCGTGTAAGACAAATTATACATCACGAATCCTTCATATCGCGTTTCGTTAGATACGATTGTTAATTATGAGCAATATATATGTCTCCTCTCCTCGCTGTCAATTTTAGAGATTATTATTACAGATAAGATTATTATTCTTCTCATTTTTTATTTTAATTTTGCCTCACGTTTCTATTTCACACGATTTGTGTTATAGTATTATTAGATGTCAGAGGATGGAAGGGATTAAATTTTTTCTTTTTCTTTCTTTTTTTTTTTTTAAATGGAAATACATATTCAATTGTTGTTTGTGATAAATTTATTGCACTCTCATATCATCGTTTCTCGATTATGGGAGAGATTAGAGTGTGCGTGTCGATGTTTGGTATATGTATCGTATGTATATATATATATATATATATATATATATATGCAAATTTTTCGATACAACAAACGCTTGTTATCGTTAAACCCATGAAATTTCATATATTCGCGAAGCATACGCGATTTGCTACTTAAACAAGTGATACTTTTTAATGATAAAACTTGTCGAATATTTGAGTTTTAACTTATGCTGCTAACTAATTAAATTAAGTAGAAAATTAAGCGGGCCAAAGTACTTGGGAAGTGGTAAATTTGTTAAGTTAATTCCGCGACTTAATTCCACGTTATTAAACTCCTATCTACGGGGGAGGATACTTACGAATTCGGTCATGTCCAATGAAGCTTGCTGATAAACATGAAAACTTTGAATCTAATCTTCCATACCTGTGATGTTGTATTGTTGATCCATTGTTTTCGATCAATTACGTTAATGGATTGGATTCTGAAGGTTTTAAATTACTTGTAAAATCGCGATGAATTGTAAATTTCTTTTTTTTTTCTTTTTGTAAAGAAAGGAAAATTTTTATTTATAGAGGTCCAAGTTATTAGATAAATAGTTATTAGACAGATAAATTAACGTCAAATCAAACACTGATAGGAGATAAGATAATAAACGTAATATAGTAGTAAAATAAGTAGTAACTAGTCAAGTAAATCTTTGAAGATTGTTCTCTTTCATTTCGAGAACATAAGAGGAAACTTAGTACAACTTTTTTGAAAATCGAAAAACAAAATTAAAAATTATTGTCGATATTAAATTTCATCGTGAAAATAAGTGTCTTTCTATTTGTTCGCGTATGATGGTTGATAAAATGACAACGTTCGACAAAATAATTCTCAAAAATTTAACCAATTACAAATTTTATTAATATTAAATTTCATCTCAAAAATAAATATCTTTTTCATATATCTACATAATAAATGTTAATAAAACGAAGAAAATTATTAAACGATTTTCGAACAAAATAAATTTCTTCAAAAATCTCTCCAATTTAACCAATTTCAAATTTTGTCAATACATAATAAATAAATACATTTTCATCTCAAAAATAAATATCTTTTAATTTGTTCACATATCTACACGATAAGTGTTAATGAAAACGAAGAAGATTATCAGACGACTTTCGACAAAATAAATTTAAAAAAACCTCTCCAATTTAAATCAATTACAAAATCGTAACGTCAATACCAAATTTCCTTAAAATTATTTCCATTATTTGCATTTGAGGAGAATCACAGGACGACCTTGGAGAAAATAATTGTTAAAAATTTCGCTCGCACCATGGCTTGCTCCATCTTTTCCACGACTGAACGCGGGGTAGAAGAGTGGTTTCCGGCCGGGATCCTTCAACAATTTCCTTTACAAGGGGCATCCCCTGGGTATTTCCGTTTCTGTGCGGAATCTCCGCGCCACCTTCGTTACGCGTCGTTTACCAAGCAGTTTATCTCCTCGTCATTAGTTATGCCGTGTTGCCTGCCTCCAATCTCCCTGGTTCATTCGCTCCTTTGCCTTCCGGTGAAAATGGGTTGCCGTTCTAATTGCTGGTAACCACAATCCTGGCGTTATATACATGCTGCGTTACAACGTTTGAAATTGTGTGTTTAGTTATCGAATGTACGAAGAGTAGATAAGAAATGGAGAATGGTTGGTTTTTATTTTTTCAAAAAATAAAAATTTTTTCCTTTTTACTTGCTCTTTTTGTTTATATATATATATGATATTGTCTATCATCTATCTGGATGATTCGTTTAAATGTTTGACATTTAAAAGGCGATCTTCGTTCAATTCGTCTTCACTTTTATAATTAAAAAAAGGAAGGGATGATAAATATTTTGAGAAAAATTCTTTGAATTTGTTAAATTGGATATTACGTTTCTTCAGAATTCCTGTATCTTGACGATTGTAAAAGGGTGAACGTGTACATCGAGATGAACACTTGTTCTTTACGACTTCATAGAGTTTAAATGTTTGACATTAGAAGATAGGCCATCTTCGTTCAATTGGTCTTCATTTTTATGATTAAAAAAAGGAAGGGATGATAAATATTTTGCGAAAAATTCTTTGAATTTGTTAAATTGGATATTACGTTTCTTCAGAATTCCTGTATCTTGACGATTGTAAAAAAGTGAACGTGTACATCGAGATGAACACTTGTTCTTTACGACTTCATAGAGTAGAGAAAACGCAGGGATGCTGGTTCTGATGATTTCGAGGGGTTGCTCGAGTTTCAGGAAGCTTTAAACGTTGGGTGGAAGTTGTTTTTAGGTGGAAGGAGTGAGTTTGGTAGGATTTACGTAGGAAGGATGGGATTTAGGTAGTTAAAGGCTTCTTAATATTGCATAATTTTGGAAAGAGGAGGGGGAGGGGGGATTTTATTGTAGGATAGGAGGATCAAGAAGAAAGTTAATTAATAATATTGCTGTTGGGGATAAATTTTTTTATCCAATTGCCATACATCAAGAAGCGATTTTATTTTTTTCCTTTCGAAAAATAACGAATCGTTTGTATAACTGCGTTTAAAAAAACAAATATGTAAAAAAAACAAAGATTTTTCATTCAGAAATCATTTGTATATTATACGTAGAATTTTATTTTTCGCGTATTATTTTTTGAGCACAATTTCAAGATCATTCTTTCTGAATAAAAAAAAAAAGAAAAAATAAATAAATAAATAAAAGCGTCTAGCATGATTCAAAACGCGCATCGCGTAAATTATAATACTCTTGACGTTATCGTTCGTATTATTACATTCCACAGATTCAACAGTCAACGTGGCAAATAATTCAACAACAAGCGCTTGACATTTTGTTAACACAATTTATTTTCAATTTGATTTACATTATATTGAGTCAAAATTATGTTGCACGGTTTTCATAGGCCAACGAATCTGTAAACGGTTCTATATATTCTCGAACACAATTAAAACACGTGGATACAAAGAATAAGAAGACTATCAAATATACGAAACCAAAAATTTCATAGACTATCATTGATTGATCGCCTGAATTGAATATACACAATATTTCACGAGAGTTATTTAAATAGTTGATTTTTAAATTTTAATGTAAAAAATTTACATTCAAAATCTCAACAAAACAATCTAACTTTCGTTGTTCAATTTCTATTTGTAACTTTAATTCAACAAATATATAAATATAAAAATATAAAAACCTCGTAAATTAAAAAACTCTAAATAAATTAAATATCAATTAATCAAACATTTGGAGTAAATACAATGAAAAGAAAAAAAATAAATAAAATTCTCGTTAACGAATTACAAAACTTTGAAAATTACAAACACTTTGAAAATGTATGAAATGAAAATGTATCATATCGTCAATTGTCAACCATCTCTAAACAAATTTTTAAAATAAACAAACTCAATGTTCAGTGCGTTTAAAAAAAATAACTGGTGCTATAACAGCAAAAATTAGTTTAAAAGAAATGGAAGAAGGAACGATGGAAGATCGATTTGATCGATCTTATTAAATAAGTCGTATATTAATGCCGTATATCAGGTATTCACGGGGGATGCCCGAACGTCTACGCTTTAAAGGTCTGTTTGTCGCGAGAAACTAATTGGAGAGCGGCTGCGGTCATGTATCACAACGACGACAAGCGACGAGGAAAGCGGCACGAGTGAATTACTGGGCAGAGGATTGCTTTATGACTTGTAACGACGCCCTCGTTTACTCGATCGCATCTGCTTCCCCAACTTTCGTTCCAGTTTTTCGAGTTCGAGCTCCTTGAACTTGAGGCGGTTTTCGGTTTTAACGCTCGAAACGCTTCCGACTTCTTACCACTCAAGAATTTGATGAATATCTTGACAACGTGTATTCTATAGGATTATAAGGGATTTATTTATTAGAAAGAAATATTGGATCGAGATAATTTTTAGCGCGAGAAAAATTTATTTTCGAATTTAAAAATTTCGAAATAAATTCAATACTGAATAGAATAAGTTATTGTATAATATAAGTTTCGGTCGATTTTATCCCTCTTCTTAACGATTATTTTATTTCTGTTGCAGGTAAGCATTCGAATGGGTACGGTGAGTTTATAGAAATTTCTTCTATTTTTTTTTTTGATATCTCATTTTAAAAATAGAATTCCTAAAAGAGATTAATTTAATTTTTTAGAAATAGTGAAAATTCTATCGTATAAATATAACGATTGCTTTATTTTACAGAATTCTAATGAAAAAATCAATAATTGTTATGAATAAATCTTACTTTACTTATTATGAATTTATAAATTTCTTTTTTAAACTGACTGAT